GGGAAAGCTAGGCAGGAACTCCCAGAGCTTTTGGGGCCCAATCCTGCCCAGGATTTCCCAGGGTGCATAGGATTAGGTCCCTCAAAACCCTGGAATGCCTGCCAGGCATGGCTGGAGAGTGTAGGTAGCTCTGAGCTGCCCATGCTTTCATGCCATAAAATAAACAGACAGCCGCTGCTTAAAGCAGCACAAATTGATACCAGCTTTGTTGCACCACAAATAGCGACTGCAACAAGGGTATGGACATCTGTTTGCCTGGCATTTGTGCCTTCCTAATTTTTACGGCAGCACAAAGGCAGTGAAGGATGTCACCTGTTTCTATTCCTGTTTCCCTTTATGCACCTAAATGTATATACATACAGCTGCATAACTGTTGTTTTGGGCAATTACACACAGTTTATGATCCTGTTTTCTGTGACAAAAAAGTCTCCCTTTGTGTGTATTTGCTGGAAAGGAAATGGAGGGGGAGGAAGAGAGAGACTGTTTTTCAATATAATTTTCCTTGACAGCAGTGTAGTTGGTCCAGTGCAGCTAGGTGCAGCCATGCTTCTCTGGTAGAAGTCTGTCTTGCATGTTCAAAAACTAGCCACCTCATTATCATCACTGAAACTCTTTCCACAAAGGTCTTTAACTTGTGGTCACGTGCAAGTTGGAGTGAGCCACATCTAATGAATGGACTGGATGGTGAAGCATTTCAAACCCCTGTTTGGTTGCTCTGGTCTTTACAACCTGAGATGTGGGGTGATTCATTGTCCTGGAAAATCAGTGCTCTTTAAATCAGCCTTCCATGACGATTGTTCTTGGTGGCTTCTTGGAAGCACAGCAGTTCACCAATATAATAATCATTTCTGCTTTGCCTTTTGAGAGGTTGTGAGTCTTACTGGGCACAACAGTGACTGGAGTCTTACTGATACTTTTCTCATTACTAAGTCATCTTTGAAAATGACATCCACTGATCCGGTTCATGTTCCCATTATCACAACTATGTGCCTGACTGCTGATATTTTGTCATTCATCAAAAGCTGGTGCCTTACACCAACTTGTTCTGGTGTAGTTGCCTCCCTGAAGTATTCTGACTTTGAGGCACATCCTCCCTTACATAAATTCACCTGCCCAGTTTTTTTCCTCTAATTTGAAGGGGAGTTATACAGCAGTGATGCCACTAGGTCTTCATCAGTTTCCTTTGGAGGTACATGCTTATCACTCAATTTATTCTTCATTTTTCATATTTTTGGTGACTGACTCACTTCAACATGTCCTTATACAAGTTCTGCACAAACTAAAAGAAAAGTGTAAAGAAATGCATCAAACTATCAGTATTTTGTTCTGTGAAATCTGTTGGGTCCAGTTTACCATTAAATAAGTCAGGATAGATATATTATATTCCTAATGCTTTTCACAATTGCTTTCTCCCCTTAATGGCTGCACTCTCAAGTCAAACTTCAAGTTCTGTATGCATTCTTCCCAACCATTTATAATTCTTAGATCCGTCTGATCTATTCTTTTTTCCCATAGGCAAGTAATTGGACTAGCATTAAGGCCAGGTACAGACATTACACTTTTACCAGTATAAGTGATCAGAAACCAGTTTAAACCTGTAACAGAACAGAAGTTCAGCACACAGACTGGTTTAAAAATATTGGAACCCGGTTTAAGACAGGCAGCCTGCATGCCTCTATTCTTCCCACACCCACTAAACATGCGTTCTGTTTGCTGCTACAGATCTAAACCACGCTGCTTACAGAAAACCATGTAACTGTGACTGATTCCACCTCAGGCGTTTTTTAATGTCTGCCTAGCCTAAGATGGAGAGAGCTAGCACTTACAGATAATGCAGGGAAATTTGTGCCCAGTGCAAGGAAAACAGAAGGGTTTGTCCTGGGAGTCCCAGTTTTATTTCCCTCTGCAAACCTTTCTAAACCATCACCCTGGCCAGTACCAGAAGAATCAATATGTATATCTATTAATATTGTGTTATGTTATATAATATTGTGCTGTGCTAATATAAGTGTGCAATATTAGCATAACAATATAATCTCTTCATAGGGGCATGGGTTGGAAATCAGTACAATAACCTGTGTAGGCAAAAGATAATATATAGCATGAAGAGTAATTAATTGTCTAAAATCACATTATTTGCAACTGTGACATCTCACAATTAATATATGTGCCAATATTAATATAATTTAACTTAAGAGTATTCTTGGTCAGTTGATTAGGTACTTCATAGATTTCGTAGACATTAGGGCTGGAAGGGACCTCGGAAGATCGACTCCAGCCCTCTGCCCAAAGGGCAGGAAGTCAGCTGGGGTCATAGGATCCCAGCAAGATAAGAACCAGTTTGCTCTTGAAGGTGTTCAATGTAGGCGCTTGAACCACCTCCGGTGGCAGGCTGTTCCAGACCTTGGGGGCTCGGACAGTAAAGAAATTCTTCCTTATGTCCAGCCTAAAATGGTCTTGTAGTAGTTTATGACCATTCATAGATTCATAGATGTTAGGGTCGGAAGGGACCTCAATAGATCATCGAGTCCGACCCCCTGCATATG